TTATCTTTTACTTCACTAAATATGTTGTTCTTCTGTGGGGACTGGACTTCCTGAAAACATGGAAAATGTATGTGGTGAGTCTTGCCATTCTTGTTTCTTCTGAAACCTTGAGAATGTGTTGATTAGCACAAAAAAGGGAACACAATATGGAGATGCAATAATTAGGTGCTCAGTTATTAACCATAAGGTTGTCAGTTCAATTGCACCAGCAGCTCCAAGGAGGATGATGTGGCAGTCTGATTCTAGAAAGAGTATCACCTTGGAATCTGTAGGGGGCACTTCTTCTGCTTTGTTCTATATGGCCACTGTAGTTAGCATTTACTTGACAAAAATGAGTTTTCCTTTGTACAAAAGACACTTATCAGTATCAAGAGGAAATAGTATCAAATCATACCGGATTATCAAAATGGTCTAGTGTTATCATAAAGAGTGTACAAGAATGAGACAAAAAGAGCAATGAGAATCGGCAAGGTCAGAAAGAAGCAGGAGGAGAGGGGAGAAAATGCTAAGCTGCTGGATTTGAAGATGGAAGAAGACACACGGCCAAGGGCACGCAGGCAGCCTCTCCAACCAGGACAAGGGAAGAGAACAAAATCTCTCCAGAGCCTCCAGAGAGAGCCATTGCTATGACTGCCTGAACTTTCACCCAGAAACTATTTTTAGACTCTGACCTGTACAGTTGTAAGGGAATTTCCTTTTGTCAATCAACCTACTGAGTTTATGATCATTTATTACAGAAAATAAGAGGAAACAAATCTACCCCATTTGCTCTGAAAGAACATACAGAAAATATCTTTGATTTCCTCATCTTGGTCATCTCTTTGCTATAAACATCAATAAACTCTCAGGTTTCATCAGGGTTCCAATCTCTCCTGTGGTTTTTTAACCACACAAGAAACAAGCAGTTTCTGTTTCTCTGTCTCTAATGACTGTTTGCTGAGATCCAGGAAGGAATTTTATGATCCATGGAAAGACTGTAGAGCTGATTGATAAAAATAAAACAATTATGGAAACAACATGCGGTTACTTTTCCTCATTTTCAGACAACTGAAACAATCTTCTCTTTTCATTTCTTTATGTTACTTGCTAACACTTAAACCATGGAGTCATCTTCTACTTCTGTCTCATCATTCAAAAAAAGGATTTCTGTTCTCTTACTAATTTGTTGCTCTAATAGTCAAAAATAGCATTTCAAGATCTATTTATTTCAGACTTCAGAAGTTGTTAGAATTTATCAATTTCTCCATCTTTGTCTTTAGTGATTGATACATGTATTTAAGTAATAGCCGTAATAGCTGTATTGACATACCTTCACTGTATGTAAATAATATTGTATTACTTCCAGCATTGTACTTTAGGATAGCTCTTGAAGTACTAAACTGCTGAGACCTTTATCAATATTTCTCAAGGTAAAAGAACTGAAAAACAAATTCAAGTCTCAGATTGCAATACTGAGAGATTTTTTAGGCAAAATCTTGAATGCCCCAGGATGTATCAAAAGAAAATGAAGTTAGAAGACATAGAGTCATTGTACCAAAAAGAATTAATAAACACTGAAAACTTTAAGAAGTATAATCTGATCTAGAACCGACTGTAATGAAGGAAGAAGTTCAAGCTACATTGAAGGCATTGGCCAAAAATAAGGTCCCAGGAATTGTTGGACTATCAGATGAGGTGGTTCAGGAAGCATATGCAACCCTGGACATGCTCACCAATTTCTGCCCAAAAGTCGTGAAAGACAACTACCTGGTCAATTGACTGGAAGAGACCCATATTTGTCTCCATTTCCAAAAAAGGTGATCCACTAGAATGTGGAAATTATTGAACATTATGATTAATATAACATTCAAGTAAAATCTTGATGAAGATTATGCAAAAAACACTTGGAAGTGTGCATCAACAAGGAACTGCCAGAAATTAAAGAGGATTCAGAAGGGGCTATCTCTGTTGATGGCAGTCAGACCTTGGCTGAAAACCAGATAATATCAGAAGGATGTTTACTTGTATTTTATTAACTATGCAAAGACTTTTGACTGTGTGGATCATAACAAATTATGGCTAACAACTGAGAAGAATTCAAAACTCAAAATATTTAATTGTGCTTATGCAAAACCTATACATAGAACAACAAGCAGTTGTTTCAACATAACAAGGGAACAATGCATGCTTTGAAATCAGGAAATGTGTACATCTGGACGATATTTTTTCCCTCCATGTCTATTCAATTTGTATGCTGACCAAATAATTTGAGAAGCTGGACAATACATTAAAAAGATGTGGCATAGTGTCTAAAGGAAGAGTCCTTAGCAACCTTGCTTGATGTAAGCAAAGAGAACTTGAAACACTTGATACAAAGATCAAATATTATAGCCTTCAATATAGATTACATCTCAACTTCAAGAAAACAAAAATCCTTGCCACTGTTTTGTAGGTAACATCAGGATAGAAGTAGAAAAGGCTGAAATGGTCAACAATTGTATCTTATGTTGAGCCATAATCAATACACTTGGTACCAGCAGTCAAAAGATCAGGAAACATTTTACCCTAGCTAACTCTGTAGTCAGAGACCTCTCCAAGTTATTAAAAAGCAATGATGTCAGTTTTAGGACCAAGAAGCACCTGATTCAGGCCATAGTTTCTTCAATCACTTGCTATGCATCTGAGAACTGGACAATGAATAAAAATGACAGAAGAAGAACTGCCTTAGAACTGTGGTGCTGGAATACTGAATATCCCATAGACTGCAAAAAAACAAACAGGTATGTCTTTGAGTCAGAATGTACTTATAGCTCACCCTCTAGTGGATACTCAGATGCTGTAAATTTCCAGAGGTAGAAATCCTACATAAGCATGGAAACCAGAACTTTAAAAATTTTTTGTAGAGATACATATCCCACAATATCCATTCTCCTTTTCATTGAGTAACACAAGTTCAATGTTTAGTTTCTTGCATTACTAGCTATAGGAGGTAGAAATATAAAATTAAAGAGGAATTAAACAACAATACCAAAATCCCAACTTCCCCGGCTCTCTTAGTATTCACTCTCATTGCTGTCAAGTAGATTCCAACTTTAAAGGAGAAGACTCTTCATCTTTCTCCAGTAGAAATTCTGGTGGATTCACATCAGTGACCTTTTGAGTAACAATGTAAAGTAAAATGTAGCATGTAAAGCACCACACCCCAAGTCCCTTGAGTCTCTTATTGTTCTCGGTAGGTGCGGTTGAGTCCAGTATAGCAACCCTGTGAACAAAAGACCTGAACTCTGTGCCATTCTCACACTTCCTGACACACAAGAGCCCATTGTGGAAGTCATCATGTCAATCCACCTAGTTAAGGGCATTCCTCTCCTTTACTGAGCCTCCTCCCTTCCCTGCATCATCTCCTTCTCCAAGAAATAGTCTTCCTACAAACTTGTCCAAAGTATGAGGTGAAGTCTGATCATTCCTGCCTCCAAAGAGCACTTGTGGCTGTACCCTCTCCAAGATTTATCAGTTTTTTCTCTTGGCTCTTCATGGGATGTTCAGTGCTCTTCTCCAACACCACAACTCAAAGGCATCAATTATTTTTCTGTCACCCTATTCACTGTCCAGCTGCATAGCAAGTAATTGGAAAGACCATGGCTTAAATCAGACACACTTTAATCCTCAAACTAACATCATTGTTTCTCAATATTTTGGAATGGTCCCAACTGCACATTTTGCCATTGCAATATGTTTATTTCCTGACTGCTGGTACCAATGGTGTTTGTTAATTGTGGATCCAAGCAAGATGAAGATGTTGACAGTTTCAATCTCCTCTCTATCCATCATGATGCTGCCTATTGGTCTAGTTGTAAGAATTTTTTCTTAATATTTACATGCAATTCATACTGAAGTCTGCATTCTGATTTTGTCATATCACCTGAGGATATCCTGCCCAGATCTCTCTTGTTTACTTTTTTAAAAAAAAATTCTTGTTTACTTTTTTAAAAAAGCTTATCTGATTAAAGTTTCTTTCTTTTAGTATCCTAACTTATTTTCAAGTTCTACATATTTGTTATAAATGAACTATGAAATTATACAGAAGTGGAGGTATGTTTTATGTTCTTTATTGTCTGAGAATAATGGCCATCTTTCTCCCTCAGACCTGCTGGTGCATTTAAAACTGTAAAGATGTGACTGATGGAAGGTTTACAGAAACAGGGTTATCCATATTGAGGGAAATTTCTCCCCAGCGGAATGGTTAACTCTTGGCTGATAATTGCCAGTCCAGCAATACAAACAGCAAGATTGCAGAAGACAGAGGTGGCTATCTGTTAGAGTAGCAAGAATTCTCCTGTATCCATTACAACACCCAAACTGTACTCAGTGATTATTAGAAGAGAATAAATCCACCTCACAGTATTCCCATAGCTGTAATCTGTATGTAAGCTGATGTTTCCTCTGTGTAGTGGGGCAAGTAGTTGTGGAGTTTTCAGTTTGCAGACAAATGCTATAACCACTGTGCAACCAGGGTTCCTTTGGTAGTTTTTCCTCTGTGAAGTTCCTCTGGGTTGGAATCTAGTGGATGGCAAGGTTAAAGAATTTTACATCCTTGTTCCCCAAAACTATTCCCTGGTATGGTTAACTGTGGTCAAACTCTATTTGGCTTAAAGCCCAAGGCAAAGATTTATAACCATATAAACTTACACAACCATAAGATAACACATTTTCTCTGATTGTTAATCAAATAGTTAAGGTTTAGGGTATTCATAACATCAAATTCTAAATGATTCACCAGTTTGAGCTAACTGAGGGAAAGAAAATGGCCAGAATTAGAATAGAATTAGAGTTAGAATGTAAAAGTTCTGCTTATGTGTTACATGAGAGGTGACAACAGAGCTGGGATTTGGATTCAATTTCTTCTCAGTCTAATTCCTACAGCCTTTCCTCAGGGACACTTCCGTCTGTTCCCTCACTTCTGAACAGGCATTGTTTTCTGGACACATTCTGTGGTTCTTCGTGTTTTTTCCTCAGCAGCATCACGCCCTAGGAACAGCACAGATGTGATGATTGACAGGGGAGAGAGTGACGCTGACTCTTGACTTCAGGCTCAGCTTCTCATTGGGTGGGGCTCTGAAGGTAAATTTTTGCAAAAAGGAAGTGAAGAATATAAACAACTCAGTCTTGGCCAGCTGTTCTCCAAGGCAAACTCGTTTTCCTGAAAGGCAAAAAATGAGACTGAATTACCTACCCTGTAGAGGAAGTGCCTGGCAGGGGTGGAAATTTTCCGTGTCCTGCTGATCCAGAACAAAAAAAGGAACCACAAGTCCTCAAAGAAATTTTATTTACAGAAGATCATTTAAGACCATCAATTGCATGAGTAACTCTAGACACATAATAAACCCACATCATAAACTCAAATGTCTCCAGGGGTCAGACAGGGAGGGGAAGCATAGGAGTGAAAGTGCAAAGGTCAAGCAGTAAAGCTACGTAGGTTTTTTTAGAGAGCGGTTTTCTAGTCTTTATAAAGGCTTTAAATAATTAACAACAATACTAAAGCATGAAGCAACAACAAAAAAATTAAAAACCTGTTAATTTTTCAGTCCTTGACAGGAAACTCTCCAAAGATACAAAGAAAGGAATATCAGAGCTGGAGTTCTAAAGTGCAAAGCATTTCTAAACCAATGGCTTCATTCTACCAATCTCACTACTAGAGTTCATTGGGGATACCTATATCTCATTTGTTCACAGCTTTACTTTACTTGGCTCCATAATCAACAACACTCTTGGCACCAGCAGCCAGGAAAATAAAAAGATGTATTGCGATGGGAAAGTCTGCTGTTAGGGACCTCTCCAAAGTACTGAAGAGCAATGGTGTCACTCTGGAGATTAAGGTGTGCCTGATACAGGCCACAGTCTTTGCAATCACTTGTTATGTGTCAGAGAGTTGGACAGTGACTAAGGAGGATAGAAGGATAATTGATGCCTTTGAGCTGTGGTGATGGAGAAGAGTATTGAATGTACCATGGACTGCTAAGCAAACAAACAGGTCCATCCTGGAGAGGGTTAAACCGGCCTGCTCCTTGGAGGCAAGGATTCTGAGGCTCCTTCTAACATACTTTGGACATGTTGCAAGGAGGGACCAGTCCTTGGAGAGGGACATCTTGCTTGGGAGGGTGGAGGGACAGCGCACATAGACAGACTCTATGAGGTGGACTGAATCAGTGACTGGGGTAATTCAGGTGGGGGTGCTGGAGACAGTGTGATTGGCACAGGATAGAGCGGAGTTTAGGGCTGTTGTACATAGGGTCGCTATGAGTCGCAAGCAACTCAACGGCACATGACAACAACAACATATCTACTGATATAAAAATCCCACTATCTGAAAAATGTCTCCTTAGTTTCATCATGCCTCCTATTAGTGATTATATAGAGTTGTTGTTGTTGTTATGTGCCGTCGTATCAATGAAAAAAAAAAAATCCAACTCAAAAGTATTTTGGTAATGAGAGAATTAAAGAAAATTTTGTGTGTGGTGATTATTAGGTGCCATTGTGACTACACCTCACAATGGCCTGATGAACAACAGATCTGAACCTTCCCCTCACTTGCACCATCCTCAGGATCTCTATCTTGTTTAAGAATCCATTCTAGTAGTCACTGTGCCAATTCATCTTGTTAAAAGTCTTCCTCTCTTTCCCTGACCTTCTAACTTTCTCAGGATGATGGTTCTAAGGACTGATTCCTCCTAAAAGTATGCTCAGAGTAAGTGAGAAGAAGTTTCACCATCCTTGCCTCTAAGGAGCATTCTGGTTGCACCTTCTTCAAGCCAGATTTGCTTGTTGTTTTGGCAGTCAATGGGGTACTTTTCACCAGCACCACAATTCAAAGGCATTCATTCTTTTTTCTGTCATGTTTATTCCTTGTCCAACTGTCAGAAGCATAGGAAATAATTGAAAATATCATGACATGGATCAGGGGCACCTTAACCTTTAAACTGATGCCCTTACTCCTTGGAACTATGGAGAGACCCATGACCTTCGATTTCAACAATGAAATAATGTCTTTTGATTTCTTAACTGCACTATCATGCGTGTTGGTTGTAAATCAAAAAGGAAATCCTTGACAATGTCAGTGTTTTCTCCATCTATCATGATGCTGTTTAATGGTCCAGTGGTGAGGATTTCTGTTTTCTTGATGTTGAGGTAACCTTCACTGAAGGCTGTAGTCTTTGATCTTCTGTAGTACATATTCTTCACAAAGTACTTCAAATCCTCTTCACTTTCTGCAAGCAAGTCTGTGTCGTCTGCATGATGCAGGTTGTTGATGAGTCTTCCTCTGATTCTAATGCCATATTCCTCTTTATATAGTCCAGCTTCTCTAATAACTTGCTCAGTATACAAATTGAATAGGTAAGAAGAAAGGATACAAACCTGACACACACTTTTCCTGATTTTAAACCATGCCGTGTTCCACTCTTCTGTTCAGACAACTGCTTCTTGGTCATGTCTAAGTTTCAGATGAGCATAATGTTTTATGATCCACACAGTCAAACACATTTGCAAAATCAATAAAACACATGTAAACATCTTTCTGGGGGTCTCTGCTTTCAGCTAGGATTCATCTGACATCAACAATGATATCCTCTGTGCCACAACCTCTTCAGAATCTAGCTCATACAAATTAAGCCTTGAATTGCATCATTAAGCATTCTATTGGTAAAAGATAGAATGAAGTGGGAAGCATGAAAAGAAGAGAGATGAAACACAGTCACCAAACCAAAAATAATTAGCCAATGTTGAATCATCCTTGAGAACCAACCATTCTGAATGAAGAGGTGCAAGCTCCACTGAAGGTATTGGCAAAAAATCTGGTTCTAGGAATTGATGGAATACCATTTGAAATGTTTCAGAAAACAGATGTGTGGACAAGCTCACAGGATCGGCCAACAAATATGGAATGGAAGACAGCTACATGGCCCACTAACTGGAAGGGATCTGTATTTGTTCCCATTCCCAAGAAGGGTGATCCCACAGATTGTGGAAATTATCAAACGATTTCCTTAATACTACATGCAAGTAAAATCTTTCTGAAGATGATTTAAAAATGGCTAGAACTGCCAGAAATTCAAGCCTCACTCAAATGACTTCCTATGCATGATAATTCTTTATTGTGTTTTTCAAATGTGCCTTTTATTTTGAAATAATTTCAAGTATAAAAAAACTTGACTGATCAAGACAAAGACAAAATGTTTCTCTTGATTTATAGTAAGTTGACTACATTATCTGTGAAAGCTTTAGTATGTATTCCTTCTAAAAAAAGCACTCTTCAATATCATCACCACATTATAAAATATGAAAAGTTAAAGTTGATACTTATCTTCAGACTCTATAAAAAGTTTACCACTTGCCTCAATAAAAAAATCAATAAAAAGCAGCGATCATGAGGATTACGCAAGACGTGACGAAGTTCAGGTCTGTTGCGCACAGGCTTGTTGTCAGTGGTACTCAATGACACCTAACAACGCCACACTGTGAGTTAAGTAGAGAAATAAAAAAATAAAACACAAAAAAATGCTTTGAAATGGCTGGCTTGAAAATATGTTTTCATTGCAACCTCCTCTGTCTCTTTTAATGTGTATATCACGTAAAAGCGCTTTCTCATCAGATTTTAACCCACTTTTAAGAGGCACAGGACTCTTTCGGGGACTAGTTAACAGAATGGATCCTACTTCTGTTTAGTCTCTGACATTTCCTGTCCCTCTGACATTTACTATGATGATAAAGAAACCTCTTGCTCTTCCCTCTCCCTATCTCTTCCCCATAAACTGGATTTACAGCTGCAGGAAGGGAGCTACCCTTTAAAAAAAACACCTTGGCTCGCAGTTCTATGAAGAAGGCAGATGTTCACATCACTTTTGGAGGACGAGGCAAAGCATGGGCTTCTCTGACCCCTGCACCAGCGTGGAAGGCAGTGGAAGAAAAGGAGTAGAGATAGCAGAAGCTGAAATCTCCATCAGAGGCAAACTCAGGAGAAGGAACAGCTGAAACTTGACTGCCATAAGTTTTTCCACGTGGTGACTTAACAAGATTGAGCTGTGTTGGGCAGGACCATCTGGAGGCATGCCAACTAAAGCAAAGTTCAACAGGGAGGAGATTGGGAAAGGGCTAACAGCAGAACTCTGGGCTTTTATATTTCAGAGAGCTTATTCATGGCAACTCACCTACTGAAAAAGGCAGAAAGGATTCCCTTTTCTTAAACTGTCCATTCTCCAGGAAGTGCTCCGGATTGAAGGTGTCAGGGGTGGCCCACTCTTTGGGGTCCCTGTGCAGCGCAGTCAGATTGGTCAGGATCACGGTCCCCTAAAGAAGGCAGCAATGACTCAGGCAAGGTTTGACTCATGCAACATTACACATGGGTGACTGGTTGGTTAAATTCACTAACCTTTCAGTTAGCAACCTTTCACATAAGTTATTATATTCACCAGGTGATGGCAAAACAAAGGAAGTAGTGTCAGGAAGTGCAGTCTCTAGAAGGGACACTCAAGGATATAGTAAAACTGCAGAGACGCTAAAAGCCTAGCAGAAAGGGATCACAATTTTGCTGTGAGGGAGAGTGGGATTTGAATTCCTCAAGGAATTTACTTCAAAAAATCAACTACCAAAAACTCTATGAATTGCAATGTTCTGATCCACAGTGATTATTGAGATGACGCAGAACTGAACAGCATCTTGCACCCTTGTGCATGGATTCACTCTATGTCTAGAACTGACTGGAAGGCAGTTACAACAGTAACCACTGAGAAAGTTACAAAACCAAAACCAAAGGCACTGCCTCGCTTTCCACTGCACTCAGGGGGCTTCCAAGGCTGTACATCTGGATGACATGTGATGACCTGTCTTTCTCCCCTGGAGAGGCTAGTGGGCTAAGCTACTGACCAATCATTTTTAGTCGCCCAAAAATTTTAATTTTAAAGTCAGACAACTTTTGTGAAGGAAACAAACAGGATGCAGCCAAAACAAAACAAAAAGAAGAGCTTTGGAATTAGAACACTTTTTCTGTTCCCAGCTTTGTCCCTTAGCAGCCGAGAAATCTTAAGCAAGGAAATGAATTTCTCTGTGGCTTCTCAGTCTTTAATTAAGATAGTATAAAAATAAGATGATTTTGAGGACTTGAGCGAGACATTTTGGAAGTATCTCAACAGTCTACATCACACAGATTTTGTCTGATAGATGCTTGCTCCTTTCTTATTCCTTCTAAAATGTAGCAGACCCCTAGAATTGTGTCCCTTTTGTAATAGTAAGCTTCCCATCCCTGAGGGTGTTGTATGAAAGCTGTTCAGTATTTTACTGGAAATACCAGCCTGAAGGGGATGTTGACTCATGGGTTCCCTAGTGTTCCTTTATATTTGAACATTCCATAACCTCAGGATTATGTGAAACCAGTGTCTACTCAGATATTCTACCAGAGAAAGAAAAGAGTTCAGAACCTAAAGTGACTACAAATTTCAAAGTTTTACTGTGCACACAATTGTTCACTGCCATAGAATTGCCTCCAACTTATGATTAACCCACGCACGATGAAATCAGAATGTTTGGGACAATTCAAAAGTAGATCACCAGGTTTTTCTTTTAAGCTTGAAAGCTCTACTAAAACCTGTTCCATATTATGTTGTTAAGTGCCATCAAGTGTTTGAATAGTAACATTTAGAAATAAAATTATGATTTTAATGAAAGTTTATAGAAATGTTGTGTTTTCATTCATTTATTGTTGCACATTTTCCTCCCTCCCCGTCCTTCCCCCACCCCGAGTCCACTTTGTAGTGCACCTCTTGTTCCAGATTGATGTCATGTATTTAATGCCTATTCATACATTCCTTTCAGATAGTTCAAATAGCAGCATTTAGATAGCCACTGACAGACAAGTAGTGGCGGAGTTGAGATGTACTGGCTAGAAATGGAATCAGGATTTCCCACACAGAAGGCGAGAATGCTCCCACTAACCACTAGCTTCTTCTCGTGCAATTTAGGATAGTAAAATCTTACAAAAGAAAGGAAATCTTGCTTACTCTTTGGAGAGAGAGTAGGTCTTTCTCCCTTGGTTTGGCCATTAAACTAAAAACTCAAACTCCCTGCCATTGAATCATAGTTGATGATCATGACCCACAAACAGGTTTACAAAGTTGAAAATTGCAATGGAGACTGGCTTTGGGTTAGCAACACAAATCTACATGGGCTACACCACTAGGGCTCCCTTTATTTTGCCATAAAATCCCTACTTTTACCCCCCTCCAACATCAATTAACACTTTGTTGTATTAACATTCTAAATCCAAACTTGAAGGGGGGAAAAATAGTATTTTATCAGGAACAGTGTATCTCTCTCCTTATTTGAGTGATTATTTAGAATATGAATATGTCACTTTTCCAGTTCATATTCCTACTGTTGAAAAAAAAAAGATAAGCCTGAAGACCTGAGGCTAAGCCCCTGATTACCTTTGGCAGGTAGTATCCAGCCACAGTGGTATCAGTTGTCACTTCCCTGGGGAGGTTCATGGGGAGGATGTTGCCCATTCTTTGCACCTCATGGATGACGGCATTAGTGTAGGGCATGTGGTCCCGATCTGCTATGCTGGGCTGCTGGGACTGGCCAAGTACACTGTCAATTTCAGCTTGTACTTTCTCTGGATTAGAGCAGAGAGGATTTTATTCTTTTTCAAACTTCCATGCTTCCTTCCAAAGATGTAGAGATGGTTTCCAGAGTCAGTCTGATTTCAGTTAGTGATCAGGTTAAAACAAATACAATTTTATTTAAATTACCAATATTTCAAATACAAACAGGATCATCCATGGTGAACAGATGATAAGTAGCAGGGTAATACTGTCTGATCTGGTGCCAGAAGATGAGGCCACCAGGCTGGAAGGCACTTAAAATATGACTTGAAAAGAGCTGCTTCTTCAAAGTGGAGTCTACCTTAATGAAGCAGATGGAGTAAAACTTTCACCCAATGAAAGATTTTAATTTGTTGATGTGTTACAACTCAAAATGAGGAGAAATAGCTACAAATGCCCATTAAGAATTAGAATATTGAATGTAAGAACTATGAATCTAGGGATATTGGAAGTTGTGAAAAATAAAATGGAACCCATAAAGATCAAGATCCTAGACTTCTGTAAACTAAAATATACTGGTATTGGCTATTTTAAAACTAACAAGTATGATTTACTATGCTGGAGAACGACAAATTGTTGAGGAATGGCATTGTGTTCATTCTCAAAAAGAACATTTCAAGGCCTGTCCTGAGGTACAATGGTGTCAGTGATAGGGCAATAATGATATTATTTAGTATGAGAAAGATGTCATAATAAAATTGCTATTCAAATTTACAAACCAATAATTAAAGCTAAATTTTAAAAAAGGGAGATTCTCACCACTTTCTGCAATCTGAAATTAATGCACTCAAGAGGCATTAACAAAAACTGATGTCTGGAATGATAACTTGGAAACAAAAAACGATTCAATGTGCCCTGTTATCTTCTGGCCCCAACACTGGGCAGTAAGTTTTAGCAGGTGTATGGCTGTCCATTCCCAGGAATGTCTAAGCACTTGCTCACCTTGGATCTCTGGGTTCATGGCCATGTGAAGCAGAGCCCAGCGCAGTGTTGTAGACGTTGTCTCAGTTCCAGCCAAAAAGAGGTCCAGTGTGCTGCAGACAAGGTTTTCTTCATCAAAACTTGATGTAGCATTGTCTGTCTACAAGGAAGAAAGATCTTTACTGATTTATACAAAAAGCTTCTAGTTGCCATAAAACATAGAGACACATCTTCCTGGAAAAGGAATTTAGGGGGGAAAAAGATCCCAAGAAAATTTACTTTCCCATTGGTTTTGTGGGATACATGGAGTATTATGACACTCTCCCTAGAATTATCTTGATCTAAGTGCTAAACGTATATGAAAATAAAAATAATCATTTTCTTACACCTGCAATTTGAGAAGAAAGTATTAAAAGAATGGGAAGAGGATATAAAATGAAAAAGCAGACTTAATTTCCAATATCTACATTTTCACTAGCTGTCTGAACTAGGAAAACATATTTAATCTCTGGGTGCTTCAATTTCAAGTCCTGTAAAGTGGAAATAACCTCTTATGGCTACATGAGAGATGACCAAGTTATAAATGTACCAAACAGGTAAACACCAAGTATTCAACTGTTAGCAGCACACACAAGCAAACCAAAACTCAATTCTGTTTTCATACAATTCTCATATCTCCCTCTGTTCTTCCTTCTGTCTAGCTTAACCTTTCTTATTCCCTGGCATATTCCTCTGATACTCTATCATGTCCCTCTGGCTCTTTCAGTTTGTTAATATTGCTCATAATGTGTGGCACCATATCTAAACACCAAGTAGCAAGTATATTCTCTTACTCTGAGGAAAAAAATCTGCTTCTATCAATCAGCCCATTGAAGGAACCAACAATCTGAAAAGATCAATTCAAGATACTGATTCAGTGATGTATTATCATGTGGATATACATCATATGTATCTACATGTCAAAAGTCAAACATTCAATTTGCCATTCTTCATGTATCTTTCCTATACTACTCAAAAGTAGATCATGTTGGTGGAGGGAAAAAGATCCAAAGAGACCCTGTGTGTCTGCTCTCCCTTAAGATTTATCATTTCAAAACCCATCAAAGGTCTCCAACAGCTGGTATCAACTCAAGGGCAGGTAGGCCCTGAGGCTAAACTACGAAGTTCAATTCAGTTATACTTGATATGGAAGCTGATGAAAAGAGTAGATAATTAGGCACCAAAAAATCCAAAGTCTTTGCCATTGTGTTGCTTCTGACTCATAGTAGTCCCTTGGGACAGGGTAGCACTACCTCAAAGGATTTCCAAGCCTAAAGTCTTTATAAAATTGAGTGGGCCTGTTGGTAGAAAGGAAAGAGGGGGAAAGTGAACCACTGAACATTTATTAAACAGCGGAGATGAACATTTAAACCTTTGCCAAAGCTAAGGTTTATGAATATCCCCCCGAATGTAAATGTTTGCATATATTTTGTGAACAGGTGTTCAGTGAGAAAATTTTATTTAGGTATTAAAGACTTGTTTGTACTTCTTTCCCAGTTCTGATCTTTATATCCACTTTAAAGCGAAGTGAGAAAAATACCCAATATAATCTCCTCTTAGAGTCTTCCTACAAGTAAAAGCAGATTTTGTGTCATTTTACTTGGCCTTTGCTTGTCTCCATTATAATTTATGTACTTTTCAGATTAGCACTAGTAACTTCTTTCTTTATGTACTCTTAAAAGAAACAAATAGTAGGGGATTTTTGCCTTGGATTTGTAAGCATGCCAGTTGAGAGACATAAAAAGGTCATAGTGTTGTTTATAAAAAATTTTTCTTTATTAAGATAGGAAAAGCTTCTACATAAATGCACTGAAATAAATGCTAATAATTTCTTGTAAAAAAATTGTTGTTTTTGTTATGTGCCATTGAGTCACCTGTGACTCATAGCAACCCTATGTACAACAGGTCTAAACCCTGCTCTATCCTGTGCCAATCTTACTGTTTCTGACACACCTACCCACATTACCCCAGTCACTGAATCAATCCACCTCATTGAGGGTCTTCCTCTCCTGCGCAGTCCCTCCAACCCACACAAGCATAACGTCCCTCTCCAAGGACTGGCCCCTCCTTGCAACATGTCCAAAGTATGTCAGATGAAGCTTCAGTATCCTTGCCTGTAAGGAACAGCCAGCCTGGTTTAACCCTCTCTAGGATGAACCTGTTCATTCTCTTCGCAGGAACAGCCAGCCTGGTTTAACCCTCTCTAGGATGAACCTGTTCATTCTCTTCGCAGTCCATGGTATAGTCAATACTTTTCTCCAATACCACAGCTCAAAGACATCAATTCTTCTATCATCTCTAGTCATTGTCCAGCTCTCTAACACATAACAAATGATTGCAAAGACCGTGACCTGTATCAGGCACACCTTAGTCTCCAGAGTGACATCACTGTACTTTGGAGAGGTCTCTAGCAGTAGACTTTCCCATCTCAATGTGTCTTTTATTTCCTGGCTGCTGGTGCCAAGATTGTGGAGCCAAGCAGACTAAAGTGTTAATAATGAGAGTGCTTTAAATTAAAAAAACTCCCATGAGAATGGCTGGTGGGTTCAAATCATAAGTCATTTAGGTTAGCAACTGAGTGCTTAACTGTGGTGTCATGAGAGCTCCTCAGATAATTGGTACAGACACCATTCTGAAAAAGCACATTCAGAATCAATTTCTATTCTTTTCCCCCTTTTGTGTATAAGTCTTCTAGATAAGGGTAGAGAATGATTTGAAGTGGGGTGAGAGGGACTATTTAAGTACTCCGGGGTATGAAGAGTAATGTCATTAAAACCCTACCTTTATTTCTAATTATATTATTGCTCCTGGGTTAATGGTACTTGGGTTCTTGAAAATAAAGACCCTTCTTGAACCCTTCTGAGGTTGGTTAAATAATGATTTTCAAAGAAGTTTATGTCTGAACTGCTTGATGCTGTTGTTGAATTTGTTCTCAGTGACAAATTGCCAATTACAAAAGACTAAACACTGCCCATTCTGTATCATCCACAAATTCACTGTTTTGCTAAATCCACTTTTATAGCCACTCTGTCTTTTGATCCTGTTAAGGGTTTTCCTCATTTTTAAACTGACCTATTTTCTTCAGTGATTTCTTCTTAATAACATGCCCAAATATGTGAGAGGAAGATTTTCCATTCTTGCCCTGATAGAGTATTCTATTTGAAAACTTGTGAATATATTGCAGAATTGTGGAGGTGCTGTGATTGTGTTTTCAGTTATTAACCAAAAGGTTAGCAGTTCAAACATGTCAGTCTGAAGAAACACAGTATGATTCCTTGAAAAGCACAGTCTTGGAATCTCTATGGAATCTCTGTATCTCAGTTCTGCTTTATTTTGTAAGGAGGGGTCATCACAATTAGGAAATAAGAATTGGGTTTATAGAGAAGGTACTTTGCAGTCTGATGCCCTAAAGAGTACAGTTTTGGAATTTCTATGTGGCAGTTCAACTCTGTTTTGTAGGGTGGGATAACTATGACTAGGAAACAACTGGACAGAATTAGGCTTCTAGAAAATGCACTTTGCAGGTGTGATTTAGTTTAGAATTTGATGTGAGGGCAATATATCAGATTATCCAGATGGTATAATGTTTACAATAGGGGCATATAAAAGGGAAACAAGTAGTAGAGAGAATCTTCAAGGGCAGACAGAAACAGTGACCAGGAAGGGAAAAAGATGTTGTGCTGCTGGCTTTGAAGACAGAAGAAGGAACACAAGACAAGGCATGCAGGTATCCTCTAAAACCTGGACAAGGTGAGAGAACAAGATCTCCCCGGGCCACCAGAGGGAGTCAGCACTGCTGCTACCTGAGCTCCTGAAGCTGATTTTAGACTTCTGACTTTCAGAGAGGTGTAAGAGTTTATTTCTGTTGCTCCAAGACACTGAATTGATAATAATTTATACAAAAAAAAATAATAGGAAGCTAATGGTCCCCCATTTGCTCTGAAAGGACACATCATAAGAAACATGGAATTCCTCACCTTTGTCATTTCCGTGAGGTAAGCGTCAATGAAGTCTCTAGGTTCATCAGGATTCCAGTCTTTCTTGTGGTTTTCAATCACATGTGATACAAACAATTTTAATTTCCCCCAGTGTTGAATGAGTTTTTGGTGGGATCCAGGAAGGAAGTACATTATTGATGGGAAGCTATTGTAGAGCTGATTGATAAAAAAACAAAATAAAAACCCAAAATAAAAAAAAAAGCAACACATCATCATGGAGACAGAATATTGATACTTTCTTCCATTTTCAGACAACAGAAATGATCTTCTCTTTTCATCTCATTCTGTTTTGCTTCTACTAAAACCTTGGAGTCAAACTCCACTTCTATCTCTCATCATTCTAGAAAAACATTTCTGTTATGATCAGCCTTAGGCCACTTTTTGCTAACCCAAGTGCTTTCCACAGTTCTAACCATTTGGGGGAGGGGGAAGCTACCCTAAAACACCATTATTTCTTACCTGTAAGAGTTTCCACTGTTTTCTTATCCTATCATGAACTCTATCCCAGCATATTACCCAAAAGTTATTTAACAATTTAATCAGAGTGTTTATTCCTTGCCTCTCAACTCTCCAATAGTTTTCTGTTACACTCAGAAAATATTTCTACGTGTAATGACTTGGCTGGATCTAGAAGTATTTTACAGGTTGGTCCTTATTATCACTTTATACATTGGCCAATGCAATGAAGAAAGGGGGCAAAAACAATAGTATGAAGATTGGAACATAAAAACAAAGCTACCATTCATTAAATGTGATAAGATTATCTATGAAGTCATTTACATACAAATCTGTAAATATGAGCCAAAGAATTCAGTAGTCAAAATTAAATTATAAATAAAGCATTAAAGAATTTTAACTATGTAAAATAAAAATTTTCTTTTTAAAAAAGAATTTCAACTAATAAAATGGAATCCTCAAAAGAAATGTACCTCAACAATGAAACGGAGTGACATAAAAATATCAATAAGATGGTGGTAGTTGTTGTTAGGTGACTTTGAGTTGATTACAACTCAGTAATCCAAAAAAAAGAGCTTGAAACCTTCCCTATCCTATACCCTTCTTAAGGTCTCTGCCATGCTCAAGCCCATTGTCACAGTCACTGTGTCAGTCCATCTCTGTGACGGTCTTCCTCTCATTCACGAGCCTCTACTTTTTCAAGCACATGGGTTCACAGGTATATAAATTATGAAATATGAGCCTTACATCAATGTTAGAAATGTTCTTTGTGTAAATATTTGTTGTTGTTTATTCTTGTCAAGTTAAGCACAACTCATAGTGACCCTATGAACATAAAGGCCTGAAGCCTTTCTAAATTATCATTGTTTCTACAAGTTCATAGAGTTTTCAGAGGCATGGGGTTTAGGAAGTGGATGCCACTCTTGCTTCTAAACCTGTCTTAAACTGGAAACTAATCACTACCCACCACAGGCAGCCATTATGGGTTTTGACCCCCAATGGCACAAGGTTCAGCATCACAGCAATCCACATAACCTCAGTGTAGCAAATTGACAGAGGAGTGCTGTATACTTCAGAAGAATGTTCCTCCAAAATAAAATAACACTAGACCCTTGGGCCCAACCAACTTTTAAATACAAGGGATATATATAAACAAAAGGCCTAAAGCCTTTCTACAACTATCATCGTTTCTCCAAGTTCATAGAGTTTCCAGAGGCATGTGATTTAGGAAGTCGATGCCATTCCTACTTCCAAATTTGAGTCAATCTAGGCACCATAATTCTCAATCCCTTTGTTTGTGGATTGAGAAATTATGGTACATTTATACAATAGAATACTATGCAGCATGCAGGAGCAATGATTTTGTAAGTTATCACCTACCTTGGGAGGGACTGCAGAGCATTATGCTGAGTGAACTAACTCAGTCCCACAAGGACAAATATTGTATAAAACCATTACTATAGGATAAGTATAAGAGAAAATATTTAGGATTATTTAAAAAACCAGGAAAGTTAGCAGATGAATTTCAATTTGATTTTAGTTAAGTTGGAAAGGTTATATTTTACCAAATGAATAAGAAGAGGAGAACCAGAGTCTCGCAGTAGTAGGACATCCTTTATAAAATGATAGAGAAAGAAGTGCTTACGTGGCAGCACAGTCTGGCTTCCAGACATATGGCTTCATCCAGCAACTTTAGCAGCTCCTGAAACCGAGCATCCTCATACTCAAAGCGCTCCCCAAAGGTAATGGAGCAGATGATATTGGAAACGGCATTATTGATCTTGAATTGTGGGTCAAAAGGCTGTCCTGGAGGAAGAGGAAGGGAGAGAAAGAGGCTTTAGATCAATTTGTTCTTTCTTTTTAAAGAATGTCAACTTTACTTGGCATATATCACACACATCTGAAACTCTGGTTACAGCACCCTGCACAGAATCCAACACATAGCAGTGTGTTAGGCAATACTTATGAAAGTACTCAGGCCATACTTAGGAAATCAAATTTATGGTCAGGGTTTAAAATGAGTGATCTTTCAGGACTTAATGGTTGTCTTCTTGTAATTAATTCCGTGAAGACCATTAGCTGTTCACTGTGGCAAATTTAGTGTTAAGGAGCGAGAGCCAAAGAGAGAAACTTGGGTTCTCATAAGTATCCATTTCATGAATGAATGAGTCAAAATCTTCTGCATCTCTCCTAGGAAACCCTCACCTTTCTCCTCCTGTATTGCCTTGACAAGGTGGTGGGCCTCCTCCTGAATGCGTTCTTCTAAGCTCTTCTTTCCTAAACCAAAGTTCCGAAGTGTCATCAGGGCAAACCTTCTTTGCTCCTTCCACTCCTGGCCACTGGACATAATCAAACCTGGAAAAATGAAAGCCTATATTATGCTGTTCTGATTCTATAGTGTGACCATCTGGAAAATGATACTGGGATGTGTATCAGACGAAGGGAAGGAAAAGGGGATTAAGCACTTGAAACCAATTCAGTGAAATAATCTTAAACCATTGGATATAATGGCTAACATTTATTACATGCTTGAATATAAAATACTACATGTTTTTCATGTATTATGCAATTTATCATGTGTAGAATATGTTTGTAATAGCGGTATTTATTATACCCATTTGACTGATAAGATAATTGAGGCACAGAAGATAAACTTTACATGGTCATATTCTGCTTATGTGACTCAAAAATGCATGTTTTGATATTTAGCACATCAGTACATTGAAGAGTTAATGTTTTGTCAAATAGTAGGGATCCACTCAAGAGTAACACCAAAGTCTGTATTCTTAAGGTGACAGGGGTTTCTAGACATTTCATCTAAGACCTAAGTCTTGAGGGATGGAGGAATGAATCAAGAAAGTCAATAGAGAGAAAGAAAGCAGATGGAAAATTAGGAAAAAACCCAAAAAAATCTCAAGAGTTTGAAACAGATGACCACTTGTTTTGTATTGCCCGTAATGAAATGTCCCATTCTTTTCCATTTCTGTTCATCAGAACATTCCTTAACTCTTCTAATATCTGGCTTTGGCTCTACGACCGCCTGCATGTAAGGAAGTGGCCCTTTTCCACTGTTAAGATTCAATGGTATGTTTCCCTTGATCTTCCAGGAACTCTTGAGTCTTAAAATCCACTTCCAATGGTTCTTCAGACACCACACTTTGCAATTTTCTTCATAATTTTTCTAACAGTAATTTTATTTACTTTGTGCCAGATCATCTGTTTAGCTGTGAAATGACAAGCATTTTTTTTTAAGATGAACTCTCAAATTTCCTCTCTTATTACTGTATATCCCATTCTCTTATCACTTATTACTCTAGATTCAACGCTCCTGTAACTTCTAGAATCTCTCTATATTCTGTTCCCTTATATTCTATATTCAATCATTGTGAGAAATCGCATCAATATTAAAATTCTAAATAAAGTATTTTAATAGTTGCTATTTAATTCTGCCACAGGAGTCAAGACCCATATAGTTGTTATGTGTCACTGAGTCAATTGTGATTCATAGTGACCCTATGAACAGTAGCTCTGAACCTTATGCTTTCCTGTGCCAATCTCACTGACACTGACACACCTGCCCTATTGTCCCAGTCACTGGGTCAATGCATCTAACATGGAGTTTTTCTCTCCTGTGCTGCACTCAACCCTTTCAAGTATATCCTTCTCCAAGGTCTGGTTCCTTCTGGCTACTTGCCCAAAGAATGCAAGATAGAGCTTCAAACCCCTTGCCTCCAAGAAGCAGCCTGGTTTTACTCTTTCCAGAATAGACCAATAGTCAGGACAGAGCAGGGCAACACTGCATGGTTCAAAATTGGGAAGGGTGTACGTCAGGGATGTGTCCTGTCTCCATACCTTTTCAACCTGTATGCAGAGCAGATTATCCGAGAGGCAGGGCTCTATGAGGAGAAGCGTGGCATTAGGATTAGTGGACGATCTATCAACAATCTGCGTTATGAGGATGACACAACTCTGCTCGCTGAAACTGAGGAGGACCTCATGCACTTACTGCAGACTGCAGAGGGTCAAGGACTGCAACCTTCAATATGGACTGAGGCTCAATGTCCAGAAGACAAAAGTTCTCACCACTGGACCAATCGGTAGCATCAGGATGGATGGCGAAGAGATTGA